AGGCACCTCCAGGCTTGACTGAGGGAAGATCTGCTTCTAACCCCACTTTGGGGTGTTGATAGACCACAGGCCCTCACTGGCAGCTAGACAGACATCAGATCCTGCCACATGGACCACTCTGTGGGGCTACTCATAACATGGTAGCTTACCTCCCCTCGAACAAGGGAGCTGAGAGAGAAAGCCTCCAAAAAAAAACCATGGTCTTTTTCCAACCTAATCTTGGGAGTGACGTCACATCACAACCTACATTCAAAGGGTGGAGATTACACAAGGGTATGAATACCAGGAGGCAAGCATCGTGGGGCCATCTTAGAGGCTGCCAACCACAGTGAGATTTTAGGCAAAGTCCCGGCCTCATCCTCGTCCCACATGGGAGCACTGGAGGAAGGACACTGGACTCAAGGCAAGGAAACCGGGTTTCCTACCCCTGGACTAGTCAGTCTTTGACTAGTTCCCCAGGTGAAACTTAACTTGTTTTAAGTCCCCCCAGATATTTCACTTGTTTTATAGGCAAGGCAGCTCCAGGAGCCTGATACAGGCCTCTGAAGAAGGTCATAGGTGTGAACAAGTAAAGCACACAAATTTGGGGGACACACAGCAAACCAGTATGAGAGATCCAAGGAGATCACGGAGCACCAATGGTCCCCTACAAGGGATAATTTGGAAACATTTACCAACATAGAGAATGTCAATATCCTTTAACCATCAATCTCACTTCCAGAAATTTCTCCTACAGACACACTGAAGAAACAGCCTAAATATTCATCAGTAGGATCTGGTTAAGTAACTTACGGTCCATCCACACACTGGATTATAACACAGCTGTTAAAAGAACTAATATGAAAAGATCTCCCAGACATACCATTAAGTGAAAAAAGCAGGGCATATCGACCGTGTTGGAGAGAAAGGAATGATTTGTGTATATCTGTACTTGCAAAGGGATGGAAATGTTCGGGTAAGATAAGCAATAAATTATAATCAGTGAGAAGGAGACTGGGAGCCTGGGTGGGAGGGAGAATTTTTTTATTCTATGTTTTTGGTAATATTGAATATTTAACTGGGTGCTTATATTGCTTTCATCATAATTTTTAAACTTGTTTTCAAACAAAAGAGACTGAATCTGGAAACCCAAGTCCCTGGAAGCCATACATATGTCTGTGACACTTCCAGTCACCTGACCCTGGCACTCTGAGGACCTGACAGAATGGTTTCTCACCCAGCCCAGAGTTGTCACTGGGAACATTTTTGGTTTGGTTCAGTGAGATTGTATCGTCTGTCTAATTTGTTTCTGCTTTGTGTTTTATAATTTACTCTGAAGATTAGATTTTATGTTATATTTCACTCTAAAATTTTATAATAGCCGTTGGCTAAAAGCATTAAGGATCTGATTTTGACAGCTGTGTAAATTACCAGCCTGCAGCAGCCTGTTCCCGTCTCGCCCCATCCAGGTCATCTTCCTCACAGTCACCTCCAGAGCGCTAACAGCAAACCTAGTCCCATCTCCCCAAAACTCCCCACTGCCCTCAGCAGAAGGAAGAATAGTAGAAGCACCCGCTGATTGAACGCCGACTATGGGTCAGGCCCTGAGTGTCCTGCTTTACATGGATTGTCTGAGTTTTCACAAAAACCCTGGCAGACAGAGATCATCTAAACCCTTTTAAAGATGAGGAAACTGAGTCACGGAGCCATGAAGTCGTTTTCCAAGTTCACACAGCCAGGATCTTGCTGAGCCCAAATCCAAAATCCTATTTGCCTTAAAGAGCTGGATCTGGGTTGAGAAAATACAGACAGGGCTGGAGAGGTCAGGAGGACCAGACGACGAAGTGCCTTGAATGCTAAGGCCTTCAGCAGCCTGCTCCCGAGGAAAATGGGAACCAAGGAAGGCTCTATCCTGCATTCTCCAGCCCCTGTTCAGAATGACCTTCAGTGACCCCTTAGAACTTTCATGGTCACTTCCCTCCAACAGTTTCCTGGTTTCTAGCCCAGAGGTGTTCATGCATTCAACAAATTCATGTGCAGAAACTTAAGTCCCAGGTCACAGACCTGCATCAGATATGATCTTGCCCTCCAGGAGCTCTCAGTGTCAATCAGCAGTGATAACTCAGAGATCCATGTTTGGAGCAAAAGGAAGCTCAGGGGGTGTAGGAGCACGAAGAAAATATCTACACAGTCAGGGGGAGGGAGGTCAAGGCCAAGGAAGACTTCCTGAGGAGGTGATGCCTCGGCTGAGCTCTGAAAGTAGCAGACAATGAGGCGAAAAGAGGAAGAATGGTGCAAAACTAGAGAGAAAGCTTTCAAAGCAAAGGGCACAGCACGTGCAAAGGCCTGGAGGAGATTATGAATTGTTTACTACCAAACCTAGAACAGCATCAAACATATAGTAGGTACTGAATAAATACCAGCTGAGTAAATAGAGTACAGCACATACAGAGAACTGCACTAGATCATACCTGCTAGGCAAGGAGAAGTCAAGCAGAGGCTAGACCAGATTAGGAACGGTCTTGAATGTCAAGTTAAAAATTGTGAGCATCAGAGAGCCTTTGAGGGGTTTTGGTTTGGGGAGGGGGCAGTTTGCATTGTTGACTTGGTTTCTGAAAGACCCTCTGGTGCATCATGTGAAAAATGTACTGGAGGGGACAATGCTGGAGGTAGGAAGACCAGTGAGAAGGCTGGTGTTGTCATTCCAATAAGGAAAGATGACTTACACCCTGGCCTGTGTGGCTCAGTTGGTTAAGCATCGTCCCATACACTGAGAGGTCACTGATTCCATTCCCAGTCCAGGGCACATGTCCAAGTTGTAGGCTTGATCCCTAGTAGGGGACATGCAGGAGGTAGCGATCGATTTTTCTCTCCCTCTCCCATCTTCTCTCTTTAAAAGCAATAAAAACTTTTTTTTTAAGTTGACTTAGAATCTTACCACCTAACCAGCTACCACACTATCCCCCTGCCCACTGAGGACTGTTGAGAGCCCCAGAAGCTTATCCAGCTCAGTTCTATCCTCCAGGTTGACTAACCAGCACAGAGGAGATCCAGATACCACCCTCCTAGATCAGGTTCCACACTCCTCATGACGTAGCTGAAGACACCACTCATGTCCAGGTGAGCACGACGTCTTTTTCATACCTTTCTAATGGACTGAGTCATATAGGTTTATCAGTCACTGTCTAGTCAGAAAAAAAACAGAACTATTTTAAGCGGAGAGGAATTGAATGCATGAAATTTATAACAAAAGTGTTGGGGTGGGGGTCAGAGCAGAGAAGCAAAAGGGAAAAGATGATGCTCAGTTTATGCAGAAGCAACTACCACTGTGGGCTTGGCCCACAGGCCAGCACTCACGGCTGAGTGGCTGCAGGTGCTGCCCCGCCATAGGCAGGAGCCTCTCCTGTGGTCACTGCTGACCCCCTGACGCTGCTGGAGCCCACGTTTGTTAGTGGTCAGCTGAAGCCACCTGTTGTCAACACTGCTGTGTTTAATCTCCGCTAGGACCTCTCACTGACAGAATCTACTGGCCCCAGCTGATGAGATCACCTGGGAAATGTAGTTTGCAGGCTTCTAGCCCAGCAATAACAAGCGAGTGGAGAAGGGTGAGATAGGACTGAGAGCCAGCAGCAAGTAATTGGCCCACAAGACCCCCTCAGTCATCAGAGCAAATAACAGAAGAACCCCTCTGACAACATCACACTGAAGTAGATGGATGTCTGTCAGCTATAGCACCAAGGCGGGAGACAGACAAATCTTTGGGATGGATGAACCCTATGGGGCAGTTGCATGTGTCCCAGAGAGCAGCTCTAGTGGAGGCCAGGGAGAAGACACATCCAGCCCCTCTCTGCAACTGGCCCCTCCTCACACAGCCCTCCTGAGAGCCCCTAAAAGGACTTCACACAACCACCCTACTCTGAGCCCAGGTCTTAATTTATAAAGTATACTGAGTGACAACACGCAGAAGTTAATGCTGAGAAAAGAATTTATTACATTTCCTAAGAGAGGGGAGCATGCCAGGGGGGCCACAGGAGGAAGCACCAGGTTTGGTTAGGAGGCAGGAGCAGGAGCTAGGGGAAGGCATAGGCCACAGAGTTCACTGGAGTTTCCACCAGAAAGTCAAGGCAGGGCTGGGTAGCCTGTTTAGAGCTGGTTAGTTTCAGTGACTCCAGTGGACTTTGGGGCATAGAGGCTATCCTAGATTGAGTTAGGACTGGGGAAATAATAGCCAGGTGTGTGTTAGATAATGGAATATGGGGAAGATCATAAGGAAGATATAAACAACTATGGCCATTAGTTTGGGCCTGTGACTAATGGATGCCAAATAGACAAATAGAGAACCTAAGAAAACCGAGTTAGAGTAAGAAACAAGAGGAAAACCAGTGACCATGTCTGGTCCTTACACATACACCCATTTTACAGATGGGAAAAGGGAAAGGACCACCCCACAATGTAAACTTTGGGGTGGTCCTTTCCCTTTTCCCATCTGTAAAATGGGTGTATGTGTAAGGACCACCCCAAAGTTTACATTGAGTTTGAGTTGAGATGAGGACTCGGGCCACCTCTTATCACTCAGCCACGCCTCTTTCCCGGGCTCCTTTAGGCCGATTGCGGAGCGTTTGCAGGTGCAGGGCAAAATAAACCTTTCCCTGTGCATTTTCCCCCTATCCTCCCCATGCCCACTGTCTGCACTGAGCCTCCAGCCCTGTCAGCTTTGTTGGCCCTCCCCAAACTAGCCAGCGGATGAGGACATCACTGCTCTAGTGATGGGTTCAGTGTCAACAGGGCTCCATCTCAAGAGTCTGTGAGTCCAAAACAGCACGTGCAGAATGACATATTCAGGGCTTTTCTGCCCACCTCTTAGAGAAAAGGTCTCCCCTCCTCCTCACACATAAGCACAGATAGGCGCGCACACTGTCCACTTCCGGTGTGTTCTCATTCCTCCGGCCTCAGTATAATGTCCTCCCTCCAGAGAGCCCTTCCTTGCCCAGCCACGTGTATTCTTCCCCGCCGATACTGACCTTCCCAGCACCTCCGGCTGTAACAGTATATATCGGTTGGTTTATCTTCCCACTGGCTGTTGCTCCCTGAGGATGGGACTATGTGTGTCTGATTTTAACTTCATCTCCAGTGCCTGAAACATCTAACGCAGACAATAAATTAAAGTTGAATGAGCGAACGAGAATGGAGCTCAAAGAGGAGAAATTATTTGGCAAGCTCCACCCCCACCCACCCCCACCCCCCTGTCCGCCCGACTCATATACGGAGCAAGGATCCATTCGGGGCTCTTTCTCCAGTCCTCCCTCCCAGGAGCTCAGGCACCAGGGAGTGGATTCAACCCGGGGTGGTGAGGAGAGACTCCCTCCACCCGCCACCGCCTTCCTGCCTGGAGTCTCCCATCCCCCTGCAATGGAAGGCCCAGGAGTCCTCCCCATGACACCTCCCCTGCAGAGTAGCCTCTTCAAGCTAAAAGGTGGGGCTGGGCCGCTGGCCCACCCTGCCCGCCCCCACACAGGCCCTGCAAGAGGAGGGACAGCTCGCAGCTCCCAGCCCACCCCGTCTGCCTCCGCGAGGGCGCTGCAATCAGCAGCCCGACCTCAATTAGCCCGGTGCCTACGCGCGCCAATTACCGCGTCAATCACTGCGCCAGAGGCAGTGGAAGAAAGGGAAGGGACAGTGGAGGGGGAAGGCCAGACTGAAGCAGCCCTGCTGGCCCCAGACTGGCTGAAACCGGTCCAGGCTTCCCTCTCCTCCTAGCCCACGCCTAGGGCTCAGGCGACCTATCTCAGCACTATTTTGGACTCCTCCCAGATGAAGGATTGGAGGGCCTCCTCCACCCACCTCCCCATGCCCCACTCTGCTCACCCTCTGTGCAAGCCTCAGTTTCCCCACCCACTAAATTCTAAGCTCCTTGAAAGAGAGCCCATATTTTGCCTATCTTGCACACCTAGACACTCAATAGTGAATAAATGGTGACATAAATACAGGGCAAATCTGTTACATGAGGATCAAAATACCACAGAAGACAGTCTGTGTCGATAAAGCAAGATGTCTAGAGAATTACAGGGAATTGGCACACAGTGAGTGCTCCAAGAAATGCTGTTACTATCTCCACCCATCAGATGACATCTGATGGCACTGTCTTTGTGTCAGGCTCTGGCTGGATGCTGGGGACCCAGCCAGGAGGCTGGTCTGGTATACACAGGAGCTCGGGGGTCTGCTAGTTTTGACTAGATTGTTAAAGTTTGTAGTCGCCCCATAATGCCTCATTTCTCAAGCCCCAAAGCTTATCTGACCTTGAAAACTACCAGGTGGAGGTACAACTCAGAGACAAAGAATGAGACAGCTGGGTAAGAGAGCACCAAGGAGATGAAGCAGTCTGAGATCCTATCCTTGAAGAATCTCCCACCCCACAGGGCATATGAACAAACACAAGGTTCCCCAGCACTCTTTTTCAGCCTCCCTTCTTCTGGTACCTTTGGGGAACCCCTTCTCTCCCCACTTTCTGCCATGGAGGGACTGTAGTCATGATACTGCTCCAGCCCTGACTTCTGGTTGGCCAATCAGAGTCCCCCATCAGCCCAGACACAGTGATTGGTCCAGGGCAGGCATGTGGCCCCAGCAAAGCCAATCAGAGTTTACCATGGGATTGCTATGGAGACCTAAGGAGAGAGACTCTCAACTAGGACTGCTAAAATGACTTAAGGCTGGGTTGCTAGTGGTCATTTTATCTACCATTATGAGAACCTTTTTGCATAAACAAAGCCACACTTGAAAAAGATGTAGACAAAGACAGAGAGAGAGATTGTTTGAGTCCCCAGGTCTATGAGTTACATGAGCCAACAACTGAATCTTGGGTTTCTGTTCATTATAACCAAGGGTCTTTCCTTTTCTGAAATTCCCATAAATGGGCCTATCCAATCCTCCTATATAATAAAAGGGTAATATGCAAATCGACCAAACAGCTGAATGACCAGAACACCTGCGGCCCCTCACCCTGGCCAGTCCCTCGCCCTGGCAGGCCCCACCCCTGAGTGGGCACCCCCACCCCAATTGCGGGTGGGGCTGGCTGGTAAATCACAGCCCCTCACCCTGGCCAGCCCCATCCATGGCCCCTTGCCCCAGCTGGCCTGCCCTCTAGGGCCCCCATCGGGGTGGGCCAGCTGGATCCCACTAGTGCATGAATTTGTGCACTGGGCACAAATTTATTATTAGTTATCATAATAAAAAAATAGAGATTCTTTAGAAGTACTCAGGTACAAAGGTGATGCCCATTGTTTTCATTTCTGTTCCTTTGTGCTTTATATTATTTCTACAATGACAAGTATTACTCTAGTGATAAGGGGAAAAAGCCCAATCAATTATTTAAGAACAGATAATTCACCTTTTATATCAAAACTTAATGAGTAAAAGAAGCCAGGCCCAGAAGTTCATACTGTATGATTCCATTCCTATGAAGTTCAAGAACAAACAGTGTCTATGGCACCAGAGGTCAGAAGAATAGTTACCCCTGAGGGGATGTGGACTGGGAGGGCACAAGGGAGCGTTCTGGAGTGATGAATACATTCTCTCTCTTCATCTGGGTATTGGTTACATAAAAAGTCATTGAGCTATACCCTTAAACACTTGTGTATTTTACTGGGTATATGTGAGATCTCAATAAATTTTAAATAGAAAAATAGCATGTATTCGTATCTCTGGGCACTCTAATTTTACATGGAAAATGAGAAGTCTTTTCTTTATTGGGATTCTGAAATACAATAACTTAATCAAACAATTTAAGTTTAAAGACAAGACCATGGGGAGACCCTACCTTCTATCACCACCTCTGGAAAGTCTTTTTCCCCTGCCCAGTTTCTTACCGCCCCCCCCCACCCCGCCCCTCCTCAAAAGGTACTATCTCAGAGTAAGATGGGAATCAGAGCTGGTGGATTCAACAGAACTACATAGAACAAAGAACAGCCTGGCATTTGGAACAGAAAAGCCTTGCTTTCCCAGCAACTTTTCAGAAGTGATTTCTAGTGCTAATGGGCAGAACCTTCTGCTGGATTGATCCCCCTTTTCACAGGACTAATTATAGATTTATTAATATTTATGGGGCTCTCGTCACAGCCGATAGCTCTTGTTTGAGGACATTAAGCCTTATCTCACTACCTCCAGGAAGGGGCATTTGAAGCCAGCTCTAATTGGGTGACCTGCAATCAAGATAGAAGGGAAAAAAATGACAATAGCTTGTCTGTTGCCATATATTAAAATACGGTCCGCCCAGCTTAATGATTATCTTTAGAATTAATAATCTTGCTAGCCCAGGTTTGGGCCCTAATAGCGGAAAATCGTATTAAATACTTTGCTAAGAGCAATCAGCATTTTGATAAGGCTAATGGCCCTGGCCCTGGCTGTTTCTCATCTCTGAGCTCTCTGTTTTCCTTCCCCAGCAGAAGGCCACTTTGTTCCTATCGCTTGTCATCTAAAGTCAGCATCACCTGGTGCTGTCTCCTGATGGGGCTCCTGCTGCCTCTCTCAACCCCATGCAATCCATCTTGGGTGCTGCAGTGAGATTTATCTTTGGATGACGCAGCTCTGGCCCTGTTATGCCCCTGCTCTCCAATCTTTAGTGGCTCCCCATTGCCGACTGTATGAATGGCATGAACAAGCATCCAGCCCTCCACAATTCAGCCCCAACTGCTTAATGCTTTGTTCCCTCCAAGGACCCAAATCTTTAGCTGCATCGGACAATTACTTCTCTGTTCTCAGGACACACCTTTGGTGTTAGAGAAATAATACGGGGTTGGGAATTGGAATGCCTAGAGTCAGACTCCAATGCCACTACTTTCTAGTTGTTTTACCTTGTGCAAAATGCTCAACTGTTTTTAGCCTCAGTTGCCTCATCTGCAAAATGGAAATAAAATACTGTCTTCTTCATGTGGCTTGTTCTAAGGTTTGCATGTGATCAAGTAGGCAAAATTCCTTGCCCAGGGCCTGACATACCTGCAGAACAGGTGTGCAGTTGATGGTTGTACCCATGCTCTTCCTAATTCTGCAACTTTACCTCCCTCTACCTAGAGTGAAGAGCAGTGTGGGGCTTCAGAGCTCAAGTAATTGAGAATTCAAATTCAGGCCCAGGTGATGTTGGCAGATGTCTTAATCTCTCTATGCCTCAGTTTCTTCATCTATAAAATGGATATAGTAGTCTCTACTACCTACTGCTATTATGAGCTTTAAATAAGAAATTGCAGGCAACATATTTACAGTGCCTGGCACATAGTAAGTGCTCAGTAAACATTAATTACACTGTTGTTGCATTCCCAGTCATCAAAGTACCAATCAAAGCCTTCCCACCCCTCAGCTTTTTCTGACCCTGTCTTATAAAGTTATGTACTTTCCTCAGATAATTTGGGTGCTTCTATCTCCCACCCCTGCCAACCCCCAAATGGGCTCTGGGTGCTTATGGACCAAATCATGCCCAGGTCTGCACTCTCTCCCAAGGCTCTCAGTGCCTGGCATGAATTGTGGCACAGAGAAGGCACTCAAATGTCAATAAAGACAATAATTATATCTGATAAATACTGAATGTTCTCTATGTGCTTTAAAACAATTAACTCTTTCAGCAATTACATTTTAACATTCATAGCAATTAACAAGTAATTCACTCCCATAGCAATTCATTCTAACAAACAACCCCATAAGGTGGGTGCTGTTAGTATATCTCCAGTTTATAAGACAGGGAAGCGAGGTGTGGAGAAGTGAAATGACTTGCTCAGTTAGGAGGAAAGGAGTCAGGAATCAAGTGCAAGCTGCCTTTGGGCTGCCAGGAGCCCTTGCCCACCACCAATAGGAGCTGGAGTTGGCAGTGTTGCCCTGAGCTTGTTCAGGCAGCCCCTATAGACAGAGCTGTGGCTTTCTTTCCCCAAGATGCAGTCCAGCACTTGCTATTACCAATCTCTATGCTAGGCCTTCCCCAATTTATCTCCTTAAATTGAGCACTGTTGCCCTCATGTTATAATGGTGGCAATCGAGGCTCAGAAAGGTCAAGTGACCCTCCAAAGGTCAAACAGTGGATAAGTGGAGGAGCTGGGATTTGAACCCAGGTCCAGCAGCTCCAGTCTCCTTTGGGATTGGTGGGCTCAATCAGAAATATGAGGT